TGATTTGAATACACAAATCTGGTAATCTGAAAGCAAGAACAAAACAAGATGTGTGCAACTCGTATTTTTTTTATTTTAACTAAACTTATTGGTCAACCAAAACAACTGAACTGCTAATTATTATATTCCAAGATTTATAAAAGAGAAAATTACCTTTTTCGTCCCCATGGTTTGTTAAAAATTATGGTTTCGTCCTTATGATTTTGAGAATGCAGTTTTGGTTCCTATGGTTTGCAATTAGTTGTTATTTTCGTCCTTGAGACTAACTCCTACCTTTAAGTATGAGGGAATAAAATAGCAATAAATTTCAAACCACGAGAACAAAATCAACAATAAATTTTAAATCATAAAGGCGAAAACAACAATGAATTGTAAACTATATGGATGAAAATCTCAATTTTAATAAAACAGAGACGGAAATAGCAATTTTCAACAAACCACATAGACATGAAATCTAACATATTCTTTATAAAATAATCATAAGTCTCAATCTATTGCTATTTTAGTCCCTCATACAAAACATAACATATTCTTACAAAAGAATATGTTAATTGAGGGACTAAAATAGCAATTTTCAACAAACCACATAGACATAAAACGTAACATATTCTTTACAAGATAATATGTTAATCGAGGGACTAAAATAACAATTTTCAATAGAACACATAGACATAAAATATAACTTATTTGACACTATTTATCTTTCTTTTTTGATGAAAAAAATTTCTACTTAGAAACTGCAATTTTACTTATGGAAATCCATGAGAGTTCATTATTCTACAAGGCCATTTATTAGTGCTGATCAGGTAAGCGCATATCAAGTAAGAGTTACCATCATCACTTACTTTACTGAGTAAGTTAGATTTTTGGTCATCAAAATGATATAGTATAAGTGTCTCTTACCCAGTAAGCCTTAACTAGACAAGAGTCGTCATCCTTACTTACTAGATACGATTCATTGTCAGCAAAGATGTCACGATAAGATTTTTGATAAGTTAAAGACCATCCTCTTTGAGTGGGTAAGTGTCTCGTACTCAATATGAGTCGGTAAGTGTTTAGTTACCCGGTAAGAGTTAGTAGGTGTTCAGTAAACAATCCTCAAGACGAATTAACTATGAAATGGTCAATTCGAGAAACCTTTACCTGACAAAGCAATTATCAAGGAAAACATAAGCACTATTGCCGGTTGTGCAGTTGACGAGTTCAAACACACCAACATCGAAACAAGCCACAAACTGAGCAGTAGAAAGGTAGTTCCTACACTGGGCGGCTCCAAAGACCGAATCTCCTTCATCTAAACTCTTTGCTCTCGCATAATATACATTGTTGCTCAGTAATTGTTTTCTAATTTGAGCAAAGGTAGAATTTCGATTACTGATAAAATTTTGTAGAATGATTGGAGAGTTACGACCACAGAATGATGTGATGGGCGTGTCAATATTGGTTTCGGTATAGTTTGGCTCTAAAATTGCTGGATTGATCATCATGAATAATAGAAGTAATACAAGCGACACAACCATCATCCACGATGAGAATTCTAAACTAGGACAAACTAAAAAGAGATGAAAGGAAAAAGAATGGAGGACAATTTTTTTCCAACTTTATGGTGAGTCATGTTAATATTAGGAGTAAATTATGCAAATCGTCCCTGTGCTTTAGGCAACCTTCAGATATTGCCATTACTCTTAAAAGAATTACCTTGACACCCCCACCAAATCGTCCCTGTGCTTTGTGAACCGTCTTTAGTTTTGATGAATTTAGTTTAAATTAAATTGTAAGTCTTCCGTTTTGTCATCGTTGTTAACTATTGTTATCTCAAATTCATGTTATTTTGTTTACTGAGCCATTTGCACAACCTTGTTTCTTGTTTTCTGACAAGGCAGGTTCCAGGTGACGGACAGGGACAAGACTTGGGATAAAAAATGCAACTTTTGGAGTTTTTAGACTCGTCTTAAGGTATAAATGTTCTAAGTTTTAATCACATTTTGAATTGTAATTTTTTGGGTTGTAAAGCATGCTTTAGAAATTATAATCTATATTTAAAGTTTATTAGTAGCTCTGAATTAGTTATATCTTTATTTTAAGTACCATTAGTATCTGTCATTTCAGACCACGTAGATGGGGGATGTTACAAACCTGGCTCAATTACATTAGAGAAGAAAATCTATTAAGTGCAATGACTTTTTTTTTTGTTAGTGTATTAATCTTTTCTAAGTTTTTTTTTTATCTAGTAACAAGGCCCAAGCCTTGACAATTACTATCTCTGTCTGCTTAGCTATTATGTGTTTCAACAATTCACTAGATAAACACTTTAGGTTTTAACCTTAAAATCATAAGCATGTTATTGCAATATTCTTATGTTCGGTATTCATATATGCTTCATCTATTGCTTATTTTCATTTGTTTCTTCTATTGTTTGTTTGATTGCTTTTGTTGGCTATTGCTATCTACTTTTTTTAGTGGCAATTTCTATTTGTTTTTGTTTCTTTATTGTTTTATAAATTTGTCTGGTTTCCGTTCAAAAAATATATATTGAAGCATTCAAGCAAACAACATTGGCTATTATTATTTGTTTATGTTGTTTGCTACAAATATACGATTTTGCTTCTACAGTGGTACTCTACTATCTATATTTAAAATTTCAAAACTACCCATACATTTTCATACATTCTTAGATTGGTAATCACTTGATATCAAGTATCCTAATTTGAAGTACACTTGTATCAATAAAAAAGAATAAGATCTCGAAATATAACCGACATGGGCTTTTGATTATGAAACTGATGGTTTTGAAAAAGTTTGTTTTAAACATAAAAGTTTAAAATCAGTGAATAACATTAATTTGTGGATGAAACAAAAATCTAACTAATTAAATAGGGCTACAGCAAGCAAAGCAAGCTTTCCCCCTTTGTTTGTTACAATTCTTGCGAGAGCTGGAGAAGCGCCAGAATTTCTGATGAGACATATCCATCGTACTATCCCACTCTCCAAGTATCCATAAATGGAATCGGTTGAAAGGAAAGAAATAGCTCGACTGTTAAGGAGAGGGAGCACTGAGCTACATACTTCATACAGAATGTTACTCTGATAGTCAACAATATACTCCATATATATTGGACGCCAATCTCTATATGAAATATGGATGTATCAAAAGATGTCATTGATGTTATGCATTTGAAATGATATGTGAGATATTATTGGATTAGAAACTATTATTAATGATTTTATGTTTATAAAATGTCAACACTCATTTAAACCTTTTTAAAGTATATAATATCCTTTATACAGTAGAATTCACACACTTCTTTTGGTGAGACTTAAATTATTAATCTGTAGGAATATTTGGCTCAATCAATATCATGTGCATCATAGACGAATAACCCTTTGGTCCATAGGCGGATGCAAGTTATAGGTTACACGACACGTGCCTCCTACCTTCTTTCGACAACTCACTCACTACTCTCGGCAATTCACTCGTTGCTTCTGTTGCATTAATTCTCAGTAATTTTAGTGTGTTTTTAGGATTATTTCAATTTTGATAGATTATGTGTACTCACTGATGTTAATTGTGTCTTAGGGGCCGTCTACCCAAATGCTTGCCCGGTACGCGCTTACCAATAGGAGTCAACACAATAATTTATTTTGATGTGTAAGATTTTAGTACATCAAAACATATCGAATGCAACAATTTACTGGGTAAGCGCATACCTGGGTAAGAGTCGTCATCCTCACTTACCGGATAAGACTCTTCATTTTTGTCATCGCTCTTACCCGATAAGATTCTTGGCCCTTCTCATGTTCATCCGATGAGAAAATTTATGCGTTAAGTGTAACATCAGGATCGAGCAAACCCCAGGTTACCAATTTTCATAAAATCTCTAATAAAAGTATAATTTATTAATTATTAGGACCAAAAATGATCCTAATTATTCTAAAAGTTTTGTCAAAGCAATCGAGGCTAAGGATGGAAAATCTGAAGATGCTGCTGAAACGCCTAAGTCTGGAGGAAGACCAGAGGCGATGAATTGGTCCAGAGGCAGGCGATGGACCAGAGGCTGCTGAAATGACTAAGGGGGTACTTGCTTCTTATTGATGCTTATTAGATAAGAGGCTCTTACCTTCATAAGATATAATGTGTTTACTAACCACTTATTATAAAAAGAGGCTCTTACCGTGCCTCTTACCAAACAACAATCGGTCAGCAACAATCCCCATTCTTATCGCAGTAAGAGGATACGATCCTGATTTTTTTCCCATTTTATCCTCCGATTCTCCTATTTCAATCGCATTCCTCATTGTTTCAACATCAATCATCCATATTTCAGAAGCAATAGAGACTGCAGAGCTCGTCTATTTCAATCGCATTCCTCATCAATCTCGCATTCCTCATTTTCTCATCGTTTCCTCTGTTTGTCACCTGCCTTTCTTTCATCCTACCATTTGTCTGCTTCCAACTTCAGCAGCGATTTCAACGACTTCTCAGTCGGGTATGTTCCATTATTAGATTTCTTTGTGATTTCTGTGTTTGATTTCAACTGTTTTTCGGTTAGTATGTTCCGTAATTTCTGTGTGTAATAAACCATGGTTTCTATATGGTCGTAGAAGGCCCTTGCTTTCTAACAACCGAATCTGTTGATGCACCTGCTTGTAGCATGTGCATACTCTCTGCTGATACAAAATTTATTAAAATCTTGGGAGGGGGAGAGGATGAATTGTATAAAAATGTGATATTTTTTCATGAACACCAAGTGTTCGATCATATTCCCCAACGACATTCAGTGAGTTTAAAATTGGGTTGCTTTTAGCTTAAGATCATCTTAGCAAATAAATACCCCTAGTTTAAACCCCTAGCGTAAGATCATTGGGGAGTATGATTGAATATTTGGTGTTCATAAGAAAATGTCACAGTTTTATACATTTTATCCTCTCCCACTCCCAAGATTTGAATAGATTATGTATCAGCAGAGAACATGCTCATTCTCAAAGCATGAAGACTTGTTATGCTGCATCAACAGACTCGGTTGGAGAACAAGTTGAAGCCTCTGATTTCAGAGTTTACTGGCATGGGCTTTACACCAAACGAAATTAGGGAAGAGATCATTAGGAACCCGAAAATTCTGGGGTCAGAAGTCGGAGAAATGTCAAAATGTTTGAGAATGCTAAACAGTTTGAAATGTAGGGTTCCAATTAAAGAAAATCTTTTCAGTGAAGGGGCGTTTATGGCGTCTTATGAAGTTAAGTCGAGGATCGATTGCTTACACAAACACGGGTTGCTATATAGAGATGCATTTAGCGTATTGTGGAGAGAGCCACGAGCGATTTTATATGATTTGAAGGAAATTGATTTAAAGATGGAGTTTTTAACAAACACGATGAAATTTGATGTTCTTTCGCTGGATGAAGTTCCCGAGTATTTGGGGGTACATTTTGAGAAACAGATTGTTCCTCGTTACAATGTGATCGAACATTTGAGATCAAAAGGCGGGATAGGTGATGAGATCGGGTTGAGGTCTTTGGTTAAGTTTAGTAGGTTGAGATTTTATAATCTTTACGTGAAACCATATCCCGAGTGTGCGACGATTGTTATGTTTAAATTCAATTTATTTTACTGTCTGAATATATTTCAATTATTAAATTTGTATTTTTGTCATGTCAACAATTAATCATACATAATATTTGATAAATAATTGCATTAGTTTAAACACTTCATCACATATAGGGTTATAACGGTCATTTTTTATTAGTCAGCACCAAATCTAGAATACTTGGTAAACAGTTTTTTTGCAAACAACACTTACTCCAATCAGAGATGCTTACTTTAATCAGACCTCTTATTTCAGACAGCGCTTACCAGCTATTGTTGGTAAACAGCCCCTAAGTCTGGAAGAAGACCAGAGGCGATGAATTGGTCCAAAGGCAGGCGATGGACTAGAGGCTGCTGAAATGAAAGTCTCGAAGAAGACCAGAGGCGATGAATT